CTCTTAGTGAGGATTATCTACGGGCAGAATCAAACCGAGGGAAGGTGGGGAGGGGTGGGGGAGGGGGCGACAGATATAGGGAGTGCGAGAGAGAGAAAATGCGAGTATTTAAACAATTCTGGTCATGCGTGGGCAGAGCGCAGCGCGCACGCGCGAGGCCCTCGTAATGCTGCATGAAGTTGGCGAGTTTACCACCACCCGCCCCGCCCGGCCTGTCCTGGGAAAACAACCTCACATTTTGCTGTTCTCTTCATGCTCATAATTGAAACTCGAAAAAGCGCAACAAGTAGTGGTATAGTTGTTGTTGCTTCCCGGCAGTGCCGCGCAGTGCAGACGCAGTAGACAGGGACGGTCTCGTCGGGGACGTAGGTGCGGGTGGGAGGTTCACTCGCTGATTTTTACGGCCCGTTCGACTGGACTGACTGGCCGGCTCGGCTACAACAATACCGGCTGGCTGAGCCTCGGCTGAGCGCCTTGGCTGAGCTATGCCTGACCCGAGGCGGGAGCAGCGTGCCTCTATAAGAGTGCAGGGAAGTCACACAGTTCAAAATAAAAACTAGAGGGTAGTCTGTATTGGCACAAGTGCAAGATCAACCCGCAAGAGTTTTGAGGACTTCATCTGAGATTTCATCAATAGTTCTTGCTTGAGTGATAATAAGAAAATTGGGACAATAGGGAGGGACACTCAGACGCATTCTGCTGCTAGATGTCATGAGACATTTTCCTGATCATAACCCCCACGGCTCTTTTCGAAAGAGGGGTAATTTTTATCAGTTTGTGTGGCCAGTCAAATTATGTTTGCAAAATATGAAAGAGAAAACCGTTTAGTTTAAACCATCGCGGATTGGTTAAAACAGCGACAGAGATAGACCCTGGCTTCCGTCCAGCAGGAATCCAGCGCGACTGCTCCGTTGAACGGAATTTAGGAGAGCGTAACGCGAAGCCGCACGCGACCTGCAAAACGTCTAATGTTGATAGATAGATGGCTAGATAGATGTGTAGATAGGAAGGGTCGCAGGTCGCAGAGTGAGCCAAGCGAGCTTGGCCCCAGGGCTGGCTCATGAATGGGGGTAAAAGGGGCGTGGTGTGGTGAGGCGGGGCGTGGTGTGGTGAGGCGGGGCGTGGTGGGGCGTGGCGGGGCGTGGCGGGGAGTTTAAGCGCAGCAGGGAAGCATGCCTCGCAAACAATGAACCACACGAAGGTATGGAAGGCAGTTACGTTATTTTGCGACCACACTCATTTTTCTTTTCCGTTCAATTTTCCTCGTTTCAACCAGACGCTTCATATTTCTCCTTTCAGTTTTTTCGCCGCGCACAGCTGGGGGTTTGGACGCGATAAGAGCAGAGCCACACCCGGGATGTGTGTCTGTGTGTGTCTGCAGCGCAGATGGGGAGAGGGAGAGCGACGCGGAGAGCATTTGGCACTCTTTGGCACCGCTCTTCTTGCCAACTCCGGCCCAACTCGTTGCAATGGTAAAGGTATTCGTCCTGCGGGCCGATGCCCTAGACGAGCGGGACGCGGTGGTTGGGAGGAGGCGCGCGCGGCTAGTCCGAGGGAGACAACACATCCAGATAATTCTGCGCTCGCGGTTAAAAGGTGCTAAGCGTCCGACCGGGGTGTCGTTGGGGCCGAGTCGTGAAGGAGATGATGGTCCCCCGTGACGACTGTTTAGTGTGGTTCACCGGCATGTAAGCCCATGTACGGGCTGGAGTTACAGCGAGCACTAGCACATGTACACGACAACACTACTTACACATCGCCACATCGTAAACCGTTACATTGTGATCAGGTTCGTCGACCGCCTTGCAGCTAGATAGTCATCTCGCGAGTTTATATCCCCCCCCCCCCCTTCCCCGACCAATCGGATTGACCGGAGGAGACACGTGACACCTTCCAGCAGTCCCGTCATTGGCTGACACGAGGCCCTGTTATACGCTACAGCAGAAGGGTTCGAATGATCGGCAGAAAATGTAAAAGGGAGAGAGCAAAAAAAAGAGGACATATTTAGATTATTCGCGGTGCTAAAATCTATCTGATCTCCTTCCGAACACCGAACCTCACCTCACGACCGCCTCGCCGTGGTATGGTTGCGACTCTGTGTGAGAGTGTGTGTGGGTGTATGTGATTGTGCGTGAGTGTGCGTGCACGTGTGTGTGTGTGAAGTGTGGTGTGCATGGTTGGTGCGAATAATCGCAACCCTTCGATCTCCATGAATAAAAGAAGTAAGCACACACACACAGCCACACATACACAGGCGCGCGCAGAGGGCTGGGGACGACATGGACAATGTGTGAGCCTGCCGTATGCGAATCGGTAGCCTTACGTGCACGTGTGTGTATGTGTGTGTGTGTGTGTGTGTGCAGGCTAACCGGAGCTTGGCGGGGTATATCCAACAAGTGCCTCCGGTGTTGTCAGTGGTGTCCGCGCCGCCCGAGAGGAGGCCCCCAGCTCGAGCCGAGCGTTCCCACGAGAGTGGACGCGTCGTCACCCTTATCCGCTCAATAAGAGAAGTAACTGAGAAAAAACCTTAGCCCCGTATTTACATACGATTTCAAATCTTCAAGCAACATTTCCAAATTCAAGAGATAGACCTAGCTCCAATTTTAAGGGGTAAACAACAAAAACAATGCCTTGTTTGTGTCACCTCGTCTTTGACTTAAGCTCGGCTCTTTCATTTTTATCCTGCTTGGTTACTATTTTGGAAAAACGGATAAATCTGCTGTAAACTTGCAAAAAATGTAAAAGAAGGCGCTGTTTACAAAAATTAAATAGCAGCACTGCTATTTAGTACGTACTAAAGAATATTGCTACAGTCAAAATCTCTATAAACATTGCCGACATCAAGCTTTTTAACCGGTCTGTACAAAAAGCTCCCGGATTCAAAGACGGTGCGTCCACCACCCACCCATTCCTCCTTCGGTTATTCAACACTTACTCCGTGTCATTGGCAGATTTCCGCCGCCCGCTCCCGCTGCAGCCCCCGCACCCCGTCGTCGTCCGCGCGCTCCATTTGGGGGCCTCCCTCCTCGTTACGTCACGAACAGTAATTACTCAACCGAAACCGAGTCCCACCTAATCGGACAAAACACTAACAGGCGTATCGTCGCAGCGTCTTTGAGTCCGCAATCCCTCCACGCGCGCCCATCGTATCCGCGTACGCACCCGCGCGTGCAAAACACACGCACACACACACACACACGCACACACACACACACACGCACGCACAGAACCTGCTCTGCCCAGTGGGGGAGGGACCAGACCAAAGAGCTGGCACGGGATGTAATGAGCATGCAAAGTATTTCAGAGTTTAGATGTACGACTTCCATCGAATGGCATTACAAATAAAGAGTTGTTACTATATACGGCCCAGATATGGTTTCAGCAAAATCCAAATTTTGTATCAGGCCAAAAAATTAAATATACGGAGTTTAGATAAACTTCTGTTGGGGTTTGGGCTGGTGAGCGCCTGCAGAAGGTATGGTAGGCCACCGAGCCATGCAGGCGCGTTGTGCCGTGATGCCTACCTCCAGGCGCCCCCAGCTCGACTTGACTTGACTAACCACGAGGCCTCTTTTGGCCCAAGGTTCATGATCCGACCGGAGCCGTTCATATAGCTAGGCCCTTCCACCGGGGCACGATGGCATCCAGCATAGAGTATTGTTTTGGTTGCGTTGCAATATAAGTTGTTTTGGTGGAAGTGCCGCTGTTATGGAGTGGTGATTCCCACACTGAAAATACCAACACTAAGGCATTGTTTTAAAAAGGTTAAAATGTCCAATACGCTGACGCAAGTTGAGGGCAGGGTAAAGGTGGGCCTCTACGTGTGTACTAGGATTTTTAGAGTAGTTGTTTTGTGTAGGTTTCCTACGCAAAATCTTGGAGCCAGTAACACCGGCAGCGCCCGCTAGTTAAGCCAGGGCGGCTAAGGAGATGGCGGCGGTGGCCTTCTGCCGTCGCCTTTGGGCAGATCAGCTGCGT